TACAACGTATTTTGATATGCAGTACACAATGAAATGATTACTGCAGTCAAGCAAATTAACATATACATCTCCTCACATGATCTTCACTAACTCAGAAAGACAAAACACCACACCCAGAGCAGAAGCTGTTTACCCAACTCCCTGTGGTCAATAGGCATAAGTGACTTAGAGAAAATAATGTATTTACTGTAAATACCAGATATAGTCACATCAGTGAAGCACTCTGTTTTCCTTGGGTGTACCTTGACACAAGCTCACAGTAAGGCTGGCCCCATAGCCTAGTGGTTAACCAGTGCATTTCGAATCCCAGCCCCAGGTGGCTTGAAAATACATCAGGCACATATGAGTGCATGCACAAAATCGTGGAAGGATGGAGAAATGGTGGAGAAAGGATTGTGGTGTGACCACACCCAACTGAGGGTTAATTCCCTCTGGCAAATAAAAAAAAAAAATCTGAACTCATCCATTTGATCTTTAAAACCTGAGGGGCAAAAAGATCAAAATGGAGGGCAAAAGGTTGTTTGTATTTTTAGATCATCAATAATACTAAACTGTTAGTCAGGATAATCCATGAAGAAAGAAAAACAAATTCAAACTATGACTAACAAGGCCTGCTGTGCATGAGTCACAAACTGAATCCAGCGCAGCCTCTGAAAATAGGAGGAAAAGCATTTAGGAGCCACAGCATAATCATGCAATGAGCTTCATAACTTTCTGGACTCTTGGCTGAACTAGTTCAACCCCTGGATGAAGTCCAAGAGAGGAGAAGTCAGGCAGTTTAAAACTTGCTTTCTGTTCCTCCTAAGGATGTTTTCAGTGACCTCAAGGAGGTGTTTAGAAATGACTTTCTTAGGTGTGAACATGAAAATAGTGGGAGTTCAGGCAGCATTCAAGGGATTACTTGTTTCTCTGGTCTCCAAGGTATTAGAAAGTCCCATCCTTGAAAGAGGGAATGAACTCCGCAAAGGAGAAAAACAACTGCTCTATGCATTTCAGTCATATAAATTGGAAAACAGCTATATACAGGGTCTTCAAAAAGTTCATGAAAATGTACATTATGAAAAAACCATGCATGGATTAAAAAATTTTTGTACCAAAATAAGCTAGTACTTTACTTCCCTTTTCTCATAAACTTCTGAAGCCCCTTGTATTTATAAACAAAATATACAATACAAAATAGCATAAAACATATTGATTGAGCATAGCAGTTTATAGTTTTTAGCCTTTTCTTTATCATTATTATTCATTGTTGCCATGTATTAAAATTCAGGGAATACAATGGTCAAATAGTTGAGTTCTTTCCATTTTCCATCTAACTTGGCCATCCATATCCCTAAGACATTATATTTCTGATAAATATAAAAATGATTAATTCCACTTGAATTCCCAACTGAGTATATGTCTCTGAAGGATTTTTTTCTCTCTACTTTGTCCATTTCTCATAGAGTCCAAGCTGTCTGTCTGGGGAAAATGCCACAATACTTGATCTGACCTGGGAAGTTTTCCCGGTTAAGGTAAATCAATACTCACATAAGGCAGTTTTTATCATAAGGGTTAAGAATGATAGTGAAGAGAGAGAATGAAAAGACAAAGAAGCTATTTGGGCAAACTTTCATTGCCTAATTGCTACAAACTAGGGTATAATTGTCAGACAAACTAGGATATAAATTCTAACTACAACCTAGGAGAATGTGCTAAGCTGTTGCTTTTACGTTAGAGTCAAAATAAGGTTGACTAATAAATAAGTACTTACATAAATTACCCTTACAAATTACATGCTAATATTACATTGATATTCTGACTCTTCAAGGACATTTGATTTTTTGGCTTAAGTAGTACAGTATATGTATATTGTGTGTCAGAGACAGACTTGTCTTCACAACCAGTTTTCTTAAAATAGAGAGCTTGGTGCCAGGGATAGTCAACCACTTGGTCATTAGGAAGCAAGCTGGTCTCATCTCAGGGCTTCCCTCCTCCCTGCTAGTCAACTGGACAGAGGAATATCTTTCAAGGCAGCCAAGCTCAAGTCATCATGTTACCCACCTCCATTTCCTCACATAAGGTCAAGGTATACCATGGGCTGATTTCTTAATTGTCATTCCACTCAAATTTCCTTCAGGCTAGCATTGATTTTTCCCTCATTTAAATAGTAATATAATCAAACAATAATTATTGAAAAGACAGAATAACACTTTAAAAAATAACAGTGGATGGACCAGCAGTTTGCGTAATGGCTATGTCGCTGGACTCCCATGTAGTCAACTGTGGTTCGCGTCCCGGACCCGGAGGCTTAAAACTCACATCTGTGCATGTGCGTGCGTGCCCAAGATCCCGAAAGGAGAACAGAGGAGAAGGGATTGTGGCATGGCCATCCCCCCTGGGGGGGTGATTTCTCACTTTCTGTCTCTCTGTCTCTCTCTGTCTGTCTGATGAGCGCATGCGCCCTAATATCTTTCAAGGCAGCCAAGCTCAAGTCATCATGTTACCCACCTCCATTTCCTCACATAAGGTCAAGGTATACCATGGGCTGATTTCTTAATTGTCATTCCACTCAAATTTCCTTCAGGCTAGCATTGATTTTTCCCTCATTTAAATAGTAATATAATCAAACAATAATTATTGAAAAGACAGAATAACACTTTAAAAAATAACAGTGGATGGACCAGCAGTTTGCGTAATGGCTATGTCGCTGGACTCCCATGTAGTCAACTGTGGTTCGCGTCCCGGACCCGGAGGCTTAAAACTCACATCTGTGCATGTGCGTGCGTGCCCAAGATCCCGAAAGGAGAACAGAGGAGAAGGGATTGTGGCATGGCCATCCCCCCTGGGGGGGTGATTTCTCACTTTCTGTCTCTCTGTCTCTCTCTGTCTGTCTGATGAGCGCATGCGCCCTATAGCAAAAAACTCTCCAAAAATAAAAAAAATTTAAAAAAACAGTGGAGAAAAAAGCACATTTTAAAACTGTCTCATCTTAACAATGGCATTTGTCAGACATTCATTTTGTTAATGGTTGGTTGGTTTGTTAAGGCTCTTGTTCCTACAGCTCTTGTTTTCTAATGACTATTCTCTCTTCTTGGACTAGGAAAAGTTAACGCAATGATTAAAACACAGGCTTAAAAAAAAGCATAGGCTTTGGTGTCAGTCAAGGGTATACATTCTAATTCTACAACCCAATAGAATGTGTGAGGCGACTGTCTTCAGCTTAGAATGGTGACTAATAAATAAGCACTTATATAAATTAACCTGTCAGTTATGTGCTAATACTGTATTGATACTCCAGCTCTCCAAAGACATTTGATTTCCTGGCTTAAATAGTACAGCTTTATATAGGCCATACCTCAGAGAAAGACAACTAGTCTGTCTTTACTAATTTTCTTTTTTTTCAAGGGGGGGTGTGGTGGTTCCAGATTTCTTTAGTTGAAAGAATGGTGCAAATTAAAGAACTTGAGTGTGTTTTTTGGTACAACTTACAGAAAACCCCAACATGCATGTACTGCCTTAGTGGCTTCCCCAAAGTCACCCTGTAGATATGGCGAAGTTGGTCTAAGGCTTAGGTTTCATTGTCACTGTCATCCAAAGTGTGCTTATCAAAGACATACTTTGCCATGCCAGACTTAGGAGGTTCCATCTTGTGCAAGTTGGTTAGGTTGTCACCTAGTTCCTTATGGATTTCATCTGCTCATTCAAATAATGAATTTCAATGAAGGCACTCAAATGGGGGGTTGTTTTGTTAAAGACCACTTTGCAATCAGAGTAGTGACTGATGAGTTTTTCTCAAGTGCAATGCACACTCTATTGCATCCAGCCTGCTCCCTGAGTCCTCACAGTCTGGTTTCTTGATATCCTAGAGGAAGGTACAGCAACCTCATTGGTTCTGCAGCTTTCTCAGTTTCTCCACGTGTTTCCTCACATTGGGAGATTGATGAAGGAAGTCTTTGGGAGCTTTCTTCAAAGCCACATTATTGTGGTCAAAGTTGTAAGACACGCAATGGGTAGACTTAAAAGGCACAAAGCTGGCAGTTGGTGGAGCCTCTGAGTGTTGGCAGTAGTTTCAGAGTCTGTGAAGGGGGAAAGATCTTCAAGACAGGCAACTAGGAAGAGGTGTGAGCTTCCGCAGCAGAAGACAGGCTTTGAGTGACTGGGGAGATGGGGGACAAGTACCAGATCTGTCCAAGCACTGTGGACACAGGAAACTGTAGCAATTCTGTGCAAAGAATATTTAATAGCAACCATTTTTCTTAATAACCATCCAGCTGCAATGCATTTATGAACTGAGTAGGTATTATGTAAAGAAATCCAGAAGTCTTTAAATCCTCAGACTTGACTGTTTCTATCATCAAGTGTAGAGGACATGGCTTGAAGAATTCACACAGAGTATCTTTTTTACCTTCCATTAGTTATATCACAAACTAGCCCAAAGCTCAGGCTTAAAACAATAACCATTTATTAATGCTTATAATTCTGTGGGTCAACCTGGGGTTTTTCCTGATTTGGGGCAAGATTGCCTGATCTTGGCTGGTCTTGGTCCTGTGATTGGCAGGTTGCCTATGTGTTAGTTGGTCCAAAATAACCAAATTCATATGTCTCATGGTTATTGTTGGCTCCCAACCTGGGGCAGGAGGGGTGGGCCATGTATGTTTTATCCTCCAGTAGGCTAGCTCTGACTTGTTTGTAGGAGGCCACAGACTACAAAAGCAAAAAACAATCAAGCCTCAATGTGCAAGAATTGTACAGGGTTCTGTGAGTTTACTCCAAAACACATCTCAAGGCTAATCTAGGTTCAAAATGTGGAGAAAGATACTGCCTCTTGTGGGAGGAGCTACAGACACATTGCAAAGGCATTGGCATTGGGAGGAAACATTTTTTTTAATGTTTTTGCAATCTACCACATACCTTTCAATCATGTAACCCTAATGCTTTTCCCTTCTAATCTTCTGATAACTCTGTATTAAGGACATCCCTGACCTAGTTCTGTCTTTTATTTTCTCTTCCTCGATCAGATTTCTTCAGGGTCCATTCAAGAGAGTGTAAAAGACAGAGTGATTGATTCAAGATTGCAGCTGTTTATCACCAAGCCAGGACTCTACACATGCATAGCTACCAATAAGCATGGGGAGAAATTCAGTACGGCCAAGGCCGCGGCCACCATCAGTATAGCAGGTAGGATGTCCTTTGTGTTTACATTACTTCTGGAGATGAGTTGGCTCTGTTCCACAACATCTGGCATTGAGAGAGACTCTCTTTTTTATCTCTCATTCCAGTTCCCTTGGGGTTACTTTCTTCTTCATGGGGATACTCCAGAGGTAACCTAGATATGAATTTTGACTGATTATTGGTCTCAAAAAATAAATCTTCATATACTTGCCCAAGTGATGGGTAACAGCTTCTAGAAGTTCATTTCTTTCTGTCTCTTTCTCTTCTTTCCTTCCTTTCTTTTCTTCCCTTCTTATTTTTTTCTTCTTTTTCTTCCTTCTTCCCTTCTCTTTCTAGTTCCTTTCCTTCTCTTTTTTCTTTTCTTCCCTCCATTTCTCCCTCCCTCCCTTTCTTTTTCCCTTCTTTCTTTCTTCCTCTTTCCTTTTCTTTCCTTTCTTTTATTTCCTCCCTCTCTTTTCTTTCTTTCTCTGGGTTAATCAAACTTTCCAAGGCTCTCAAGGAGTAAGCTGGCAGATATTTGACATGGTGTGCCAGTTTCTGCATGGCTATTTCTTGTGGGCATGTTTACCTATGAACATGACCCTGTGGTCTTTCCCCTTCCTGGCTCTCACTAGCAACCACAGTATTTACCAGTGTTTTCAAGGAAAAGGGCTGACACATGGACTTCTATGATATTTGTATTGAGCTATAAAGGTTTATTTTTAAAATGTAAATGTCGCAAAGGCTTCTGAGAGCATGTATGAAATTTCTAGAGATGGAAGTAATTCCTACATGAGGAAATGCCAGGCCTGTTATATTCATAGCATGCCTACTGCCCAAGGGTCACCAGAGAAGTACTTGGCCCAACACAAAAGGCTAGTAATGGTAGAATCTGTGCCCAAGGCCAACTCCAAAGAGGCTGCTGTTTCTTATTTCAGTGCTACTTCTTTGATCTTTCCTGATGGGGAACTTTCCAGTAATGTCTGTGTATTTTAGTATGAGGCGAATAGAGGCCACAGAGAATATATAGGGGGCATTGAACAAAGCTGCCCCACTAGGACACACCCATGAAGGAAACAGAAGGCTCTCAAATTAAAGCTCTTTTGTACCTTCATTCCCCATACATATATCTGCCTACAGTGTTTTGAGACATCACAATAGTTATTCTAACATTTCCATGAGTGGGAAAATATTTATCCCAGAAAATGGCAAATGAATTCAACTTAATTTAACAAATGATCATAACATTATTATTATTTCATAACACTTGGCCCTTTAGAATGCACTTTTACATGTATTTATTGAATACATTGGATGTGGGTCTTTGTCTTAAGTAAAGGATGAACACTAAATTTAAAAATGGTTTCTGCCAGGACCAGCAGATGGTATAATGGTTATGTTGCTGGACTCCCATGTAGTTGACTGTGGTTCAAGTCTTGGACCTAGCAGCATAAAACTCACTCTGGGCATGTGTTCACACCCAAAACTCCTAGAGGAGAATGGACGAGAAGGGACTGCAATGTAGTCATTCCCCCTGGAAGCTGATTTCTCACTTCCTGTCTCTCTGTCTCTCCAGTGAGCACATGCACCCTATAGGAAAAATCTCCCTCTAAAAAAGAAAAAAAAAAGGATTTTGCTTTCCAGGGACTCTTGATCTAGAGGGGAGGTTAGTCGGTCACATATGCAGAAGCACAAAGTACAGCAGCAGGACAGGAGAGGGAGACTTGAAGAGATTCCTTGGGACAGAGAAACAGAAGATAATGAATAGGCTGATGTGTATTCAGAAAGCAGGGAGTCAGCTGGCAAGGACAGAGCATGCCAGAGACAGGAGGGGGGATGAAAGTGGAAAGAAAGGTGGAAATGTGAGTTCTAGTCTTGTTATGAGGAGCCTGAGTAGGTTTAACATGTTTTGTCATGGACACTAAGACACTTAATTCTGTTAGAGGAAACAAGTGAAGTGGTCAGATAGATCCTTTATCAAATTAATAGGTGTTGGGGTATTGAGAGGTGAGGAGGAATGGAAGTCAGTTAGGAGACCCTTCCAGAAGTCTAGATGAGTAAAGAAGATCTGAGCAACAGCAGCAGCAATTGGTAGAGAAGTGGAGAGATACATGGAACCTGCTGGGAAAGAAATAAGATGTACCAGCTCTTAAATATAGAGCAGTGAGGTAGATGAATGAGTTAAAATGTTTCTGAGATTTTGAGAAAAGTGTCTATAATAAATAATATATAAACAAAATGAAACATAAAAATATGAGAAGGTCCAGAAGATAATAAAATGCTCAAAATGTTTGATGTCTTTGAATTACCTGGGATTATTCTGGTCTCATGGTCTTGTATTTTTTATTTGATTGAGACTTAGTGTTAAATAAATACATATTTATATAAATTCTCTCTGTATTTATATAGCATGTATGCGTATAGAGAGAAAACATATTTACATATGAATACTTAAATTCAAGAAAATAAATGACTCTAATTCAGTTTAACCTACACCTCAGTGGGCGGAAGAATCTTAGTATTGCACAATGTTGGGGAAGAGTAAAGAAATGAGAATCATGATAAAAACATTAAAAAGGAAAAGACTGAAAGTTTAGAGTGGATACGATAAATCAGAAGCATCCATTAGTTAGAAAATCAATATTGTTGATTTGATATAACACTTATTATATTTTTAATTCATAGAAAGCTTCAAGACTCTCTTGTTCCATTCCTGATCAGTGTTGTGGTTGGGCCTCACCAATAAACAGGTCTGACATTGCACCACCTCCCACAGTGTCCACAGGCAGATCTAATGAGAGTATCTCATCAGTACAATTAAATAAGATCTCTGAGCCATTCTGGGACTCTTCCTCCCTGTGACCTGTTATGTCAATTAGAACTGATTGATGTTTTATGAAAGGACCCTTAAACTCAACGAGGAAACTGCTTCCCAACCCTGACATGAATCCTAACCCAATATTCACTGGAGAGAGACCACTCCAGTTCAAGGGAAAAAAAATTCTTTGGAGGCAGTATAATTCAAAATCATTTCAAAAAAATCATTGTCTTGTCTCCCAGCTCTCCCAAAACTTCGTGAGGCATCTGCATTCCCTTTTTCTGCCATTTAAAAAAAAATTGACAGAGAGCATGTATTCTCACCAGAGAGAGAGAGAGAGAGAGAGAGAGAAACTCCCCCAATGACACATGGTCAAGCCACTATCCCACCTCCTTTTTTTCCATTTCTCCATCCTGTCAGTATTTGGGGGTATAAATGCATATGTGCCCTTCATTTCCAGGGTCAGAATTCAAACCACAGTCAGCCATGTGGGATCCAGCTCCCAAAGCAGAGCACTTAGAGACTGCTATGGGACGGACTCTCCATTTCTGCTTTTGATCCTCTCTTCTTTGGCCCCCAGTGAGCCTGGCCAGAGATCCAGAGCATTCAGGTCAGACATGGTGCCTCCCATTGACATTCTGGCAATGCTTCTATAACCCCAAACTCTGTTGTCTCTCATTTCAGCCATCCTCCACCCCTAGTGTTCTGTAGTCAACAGCCCCCTCTGTCACATTCCTCCTGTTTAACTTTGAAGCTTTTACTCCTTCTGTTTATTTACTCATCTCAGCAGGAAAACTAGAAATGGACCAAGCTTGTCTAGTGCTCACAGTTCTGTCTAATGACATTTCTAGTATTTGAAAGACAACAAAAAAATAGAGATCAGCCTTCATTTTCCTCCAAACTCTTCCATGAGTCTGCCCAAATGCTTATGCCTTGTTTGAGAAATGTGATATACTTTCTTTCTGACTCATTTACATTTGCTGTTGGTCATCAAAAGGAGTCAGAAAAACCTTGGAAACTCTCCCGATGAACCAGGAAGTTGCATTTCCCCTTCAGTCACAACCCTGCAGGGCTCAAGTTGCGGTTTAAACTCAGTAGGATGCCGGGTATTTGGCAAAATTCCTCCTCTGTCATCAGAACCCTCAGCTCTGTGGCAGAGACCCGCAAGGCCGCCCATGATCCCAGTAATGAGCATTGTCCTGGGACAGCCAGAGACCATCAAAATAGACACTGGGATTCAGGAGAGGAATACGTGTTTGCTTTTCCCAATCTTTTTTTAAAAGAATTATTTCATTTCATGCATTTTTACTATTATTATTACTATTTAATTTGACCAAGAAAGACAGTAAGAGAGAGAAAGGGAAAGTGAGAAAGCAAGCTGCTAGGTTGGGGACTCAAACTGCAATCAGCCATGTAGGAGTCTAGCACTTTAACCACTGTACTACCTACTGGTCCCAGCATTCCCCATTCTTAATGGCACCAACAGGTCTATTATCAGACAGTGAAGTCCAAAGTTGTGTCTATGCTTACCCAGACTTAGGGCCTAGGGATGAGTCTGTGGTCATAGCCACCCTCAACAGAAAACCATTCCCCATCTACCAACACCCTCACCTTTTACAATGCCTCTTTGTTAAGCTGACCTTATGGCCTGGAGTTTGGATGACTACGTTTAAAACTTAAATGAATATATGTAGCATCATCAAAACTGGGCAGTGCGGAGAAATCTGGTGTGGCAGTCTTGAACTCTCCCACCTCCCCAAAGGAACATAGTTTTCTTTTCAATTTCAAAAGAGCTTATATTTCACACTATTAAAGAAAGAAAAACGAAAACAGAACCTCAAACTCTTTCATAATCATATAGCTAATTGAATCTTTGTTTCATGCTTTATGGCATGTCTGATAGTTACACACCTGTTTCCCCCATATTGAAGACAATTTTTGAAACACTCCAAAGTCTGAGCCATGATTTGCTTTCCCATTCAGTGCTTCCACCACTATTGGTAAAGAGTGTTCTATCAACAAAACAGACACCCTCCCCTGGCATTACAGGGTGGCTTTATCTGACTTTAACTGATTAAAGGCATTTTGTTTTTGTTTTTAATAAAAAGGAAAAGAGTAAATGAGTAGCAGCCAGTAGCCACACTAAATTGCTACCAGCTGTTCTGCAGAGGCCTAAAAGGTAAGCGTCCCTTTACAGGCAGGCAGCTTT